CTGACTCTGCCACAAACCACACAGCTCAGGATAGAAGTATAAACGTCATCAACACAACCTTTTCTTGCTGCAGATCATAGAACATGTCAAGTGTAACAGCCACACTATGTGTAACATTGTGGCTAGTTAAACCCATTTAGACCTCAGTTCTGTCCCTCAACAGTCACCTACCTGTAGGGGATCCCTCCAGCACCTCTCCTGTGTACCGTGGTTCTTTGAAGATGGGACGGTTGTCATTTTGGTCAATGACATTAATCCTGAATACTTGTGGTCCCTCGATAAGGTTCCCACTGTAGTCTGTGGTCGATACCTCCAGCTGTGTGAAAGAACAGAAAGACGAGTTAAAGACATTTTGTTTTCCAGTTGTCGACTCACTTTTATTTAGAGCGTTCTTCATAAAAACTGCAGGTAAGCTCAAATGATGTGCTGTTGTCTCACCGCTCTTTAAATAAAAAGCCATTTGTCAGTATCCACTAGAAATTAAAAATAAAAATAGAAAAGAAAAAAATAGCTAGATAAATAAACAAAAACAAAACATTATCCACTGATTTCCATTTCATTGAGTAAAATAAGCATCTGGTCCCCTACAACCCAGAGGAAACCACAGTTTCCCCCAGGAAGAGAAATGCTGATTAGGACACAAAAACCATCATCCCCACAATCACAGAGGTGGAAACATTACTTTGGGGCTGTTTACCTACTGAGGGGCCGATGGATTCAGCCATGAACCATAACATTGAGGATGAGAACCTCCTTCTTTCAGCCAGAACACTGGATTTAGGATTTAGAGAGTTTCTGTCAGGAGCAGTGAGACACGTTTCCTTAGATGAGTGCAAACCTGGTGACCAACTTCAAGACACATCCTGCCCCGTGACAAAGGCTTCTCCATGAATACCAAGTGTTGCTTTATTTGGGGATCAAATGCTTATTTCACCTAATGGCTTGCAGTCCACTGTGGCCTCTTTCTTCTATGACTATATATGTTGTATTCTTTGTGAGCACTCACAAAAACACCTACATAAGACATAAG